AAGCTATTTGCAGAAGTTTGATCATTGGAGGAGAGCAGACTGATTTCCCAGCACAGCTAGAGAACTGACCATGCTGTGCTCTCCTGCCTATTGCAGTCAGTTTGTAATTGGAAAGTAGAGGGACTGGCAGGAATACCAGTGATTTCACACAAAGGAAGTAATAGTAAGAGAACAAGCTACTTTTTAAAACAAGTACATGGTACAGCAGGCACATATTAAGAATATGAAATGTTGGGTTTACATACTCTCCAAGTCTATAATGGGGGTAGTATTGGCATAGCTGTAAAAGATCCCCAATGGCTAAAAACTGATATGGCCTAGAAACATTTAGACAAAATAAGGGTGAATAAAGTACCTAGACCTAATGGCTTACATGCACGTGTCCTCAAAGAGTTGAGTTCTGTTATTTTGAAACCCTTGTTTTCAATTTTTAGAGACTCTAATAACCAACTTGATACCACTAGATTGATGCAAGGCAAATGTGCTGCTTATGTTTAAAAAGGGATAAAAATCTTTACCAAGTAACTTCAGACCAGTTACAGTAGTTTATCTTCTATAGTTGGGAAGATACTGGGGAGTTTAATCACTTGCCTACCGGGCACTTTTACCTCCTTCTTGCCCAGGCCAATTTTCAGCTTTCAGTGCTGTTGCACTTTGAATGACAACTGCGTGGTCATGCAACATTGTACCCATATGACATTTTTATAATTTTTATCACACAAATAGAGCTTTCTTTTGGTAGTATTTAATTGCCACTGGGGTTTTTATTTTTTTGCACTATAAACAAAAAGAGACAAAAATGTGAAAAAAAGTTTATTTGTTTCTATTATAAAATTTTGCAAACAGGTAATTTTTCTCCTTCACTTATGTGCATTGATGAGGCTGCACTGATAGGCAGCACTGATGGGCACTGATGAGGTGACATGGATAGGCAGCACTGATGGGCAATGATAGGCTGCACTGATGAGGTGGCACTGATGAGGCGGCACTGGTGAGCACTGATGAAGAGGAACTGAAGATGCTGCACTGATATGCAGAAATCATGGGCACTGACAGGTGGTACTGACAGGCGGTACTGATGGGCACTGATAGGTTGCACTTATTGGTGGCACTGACGGGCACAACTGCTGGGTGGCACTTCTGGGCAGCACTGATGGGTGGCACTGCTGGGCACTAGTGGGTGGCACTGCTGATCATGGCACTGATCATCCGTGCCCTGGTGATCAGTGCAGGTGTCCTCTGTGACATTTGCCGTTTATCGGCAGTACATTTCTCACGCTGTGACAGCGTGAGGAAAGTGCTGCCGATAACTGGCAACTGTATTTACATAGTGATCTGCTGTGTCATTGGACACAGCTGATCATGTGGTAAAAGGCCGCTGTGATTGGCCTTTTACCATGTCATGTGATCAGCTGTGTCTGTAGGACACAGCGATCACTGACAGTGCTGGGTGCACGCCGCTGGGAGTGCGTTCTGGGAGGACATCATATGACACCCTCCCAGAACTGGACAACCGTGCTGTAGCCATCACTTGGCTATAGCGCTGTTGTAAAGTGGTTAAAGACCACATAGAAGATTTTCTGCCGGAAAACAGTATTTTAAGCAATAGTCAGCATGGATTCACAAAAGATCAAAGTTGTCAAATATATAATCATAAACTTAGACAAAGCAGTGGCTGTGCATATAGTATACTTGGACTCTGCAAAAGCATTTGACACAGTTCCCTGCACTGTGGAAGTATGTCTATTGGCTTGAAAATTACATTTGTTGTTGGATAGAAACTGGGTAAATTACCATATTCAGAAAGTAGTGTTTAATAATTCATGCTCTGAATAGTCTAAGATTATTAGTGGTGTTCCCCAAGGTTCAGTGGCAGGACCCTTACTTTTTAATCTATTAATAAAGGATATAGAGATTGGGATTAAAAGTAAGATTTCTGTGTTTGCAGATGACACCAAGCTATGCAGTGGAACAACATCCTTTATGGATGTCATCAACTTAAAGGATGAATTTATTGCACTTGGGGCTAAAAACATACATACATCATACATTTTAGGAGTACACCTGAGTCAATAGTCGAGAAGGATCTGGGTGTTCTCTTAGATCATAGACCTAAAAATATTCAATGCCAAGCTGCATTTTTAAGAGGAAGCAAAATACTTTCTTGTGTTGAGGGGTATAGACTCCAGAGAGACATAATTTGCCCCTGTACAAAGCATTAATAAGACCTCATCTGGAATGTGCAGTTCAGTTTTGGATACTAGTTCACAAAAAGATATTGGGAAACTGAAGGAAGTGCCAAGAAGGGTAACAAAACTGGTAAAAGGCATTGAGGACCTCAGCTATGAGGAAATGTTAGCTGAACTGAATGTATTCTCCCTTGAGTAGAAACTATTAAAGGGCATTATGATCACCATGTATAAATACATAAGTGGTCCATATAGTGAACTTGGTGGACGGAAATGGTATTTTTTTTTCTATTTAAATATTTTATTGTTTTCAAATCACCATGTACAAAAGCTAATAAAACAGACAGTATACATTACACATTTCTGTCATAACACTCCCCAGAAATAACCTTAATCTCGGTGTCCTTTTACCCCTCCCCTTACCTATCCCCCCCCCACCCTTTGATTATGCATTTTTAACTTCATTCTAGAAATTCTGATCCTTAGCTATTACTGGTATTATACTGTACTATATTTATCCCCTTTCCCTTCTCTTCCTTATTTCACATATTCTAGGTATACCTCTGAATTTTTAAACGGTACCCACTTTTCCCAACTTGTACGAAATACCTCCATTTTATCTTCCTCCATATGGTAAAGTTCCTCCATTCTATATATCTTCTCCACTCTTTCTAACCAATCCTTTATTTTCAGTGCCTGTTGTTTTTTTCCAAAACTTGGGTATCAGTCCCTTCGCTGCATTTAAATACAATAATCCAGTTTTTTTATATTTTTTTAACCGAAAACTCTGTACGATTTAACCTTACCATTTTGAAAAGCTTCTTTACTGTAAGAGCTGTGAAAATTTGTGAAGTAGAATTCTTTAAGAACTAGTTCTGGTCAACTGAATGGATTTAATAAAAAAGAGCTGGATGCATTCATAAATGCACAAAACATACAGTAGCTGGATATTAACATCAGGAAGAAATTTCTTTGTTCCCTGCTGGAGCAAATAGAGCATGCTTTATAGGGGTTTTTTTTGCCTTCATATGATGGTTTTCTATTCTATTTTTTTTTTTTTATTGAACTAGATCAGAAGTAGGTAACCTGAAAGATGGAGATCTACCTGAACAACATAGGAGAAGTCAAAGATCTCCAGGCACAGTGTTGGCCAGTGTCTCCTCCCCACACCTGATTTAAACCTCTGATTGCAGTACTACAGTGTCACAATTGCGTGCTTTGCACGGCAATCATGGGTTTAATTCGGGTGTTGAGGAGGCAACATATCGTCTCCTCACCACCTGTCAAACATACCTGGATCTCTTTGCAGAGGAGCAGTAGTGTCTGCTGCACTTCTGAATGAGCCCTTAGTTGAGCAGCAGCTAAAGGTCTAAACACGCCGCATCAGGAATTACACCCCGTTTTTTTTTGTAGGTGCTACCACCTGTCATTTGAGACCCATGCAAGTGCCCTGTAACTGCTTGCTTCTGTGGGGTCCAAGGGGTTATGCAGTTGGTGAGAATGCAACACACTGCTGCCTGTTCAACCCCTTGTTTGCCTTGTTTGCTGTACTGCACCAGGTTGCGCGCACTTGCACAGTGGCCTCATTCACTTAATGGGTCATGCTTGGCAGGTGCTACACCCACCAACCATGAGAGTGTGTAAGAACCAGCACTACAGAGGAAACAGCAGCTTTTGCTCCCTACTACAACTCCAACTTTACAAGTAGTCAGCAAGCCCTGACCGTGATCTACCAGTCACCTGGCCAAGATCTACTGGTAGATCACGATCTACTGGTTGCCGACCCCCAAACTAGATGAACTTGTGTCTTTTTTCAACTATGTATATTTTTGCCCCTTTTTGTTGGGAAGAGGATGAAGGACAGTAATTGCAGAAGTGTTTCTCCTCTGGAGCTATGTTAGTTCAATCTGTTGTGCTATAGAAGTAACTGTGAATTAACAGCTCGTAACAAGCAAGTGATTAGGATCCTGCTGTTATACATCTGGTAGGATGTCTGCTGCGGTTTCTGCAGGCACTACTAGATGTCACTGTTCAACCTGATTTTCCCTTTCAGCAGTTGGGCTAGGAGGTTTTCATTCTGCCCAGCAATCAGAGAGTCCTGTACAGGAAGAGAGCAGGGAGGTCATCTTGGAACTATTTGAGCAGTAAAAAGGACCGCATGGCTGCCACTTACAGGGAGCGATACTGCAGCCCAGTACAGTAAGACATTTCCTGGTGTGGTGGACAGCACTAGGACTATATAAGAGGCCACTGGTGGGGTTCAACCATGGGGAAGCAAACAATTTCTATGGTTAACGATTAGGTTAGACTAAGTTGTGAAAGAGAGTAGCAATGTGTAAAGAGACATTTGTGTGCTTTTTCCCCTTGGGATTGAGCAGATAGGCCTTATGTCTGCAATCCAAGAGAAAAGAGTACAGTCCATTTGTAGCAGTATACAATGCACAGCATCATGACCACTGCAGCACCCCTCCAAAATATATAATAGTCTTGGTGTCATAAAAGGATAAGAAAATAAAAAGAAAGAGATAAAATCTCATATTAGAAAAAAATAAAAAATCTTACATTATCATTGTTTTCCATACATTCAAACACCTTATCCTGTTTGCCATTGTGGGGCCATAAAACATCTAGTCTCTTAAAACATATGTATATACACCTCTGTCAGGAATCAAGGAATGACCAGAAAGGTGTGGACTGACACAGGGAAACGCAGGTAATATAATACAGTTTATTATTAGCCACCCAGATATATATATCTATATAAACGCACAGTGAACAAACTAACCTTCCACTAATCCACTAAGAGCACCCGCTGGTCAGCTCTGGTACTGCAGCCCACACGGCTGGTGAGTCCCACCACCAGTGCTGAGTCCATTGCTGAGAGCACCCGCTGGTCAGCTCTGGTACTGCAGCCCACACGGCAGGCGAGTCCCACCACCAGTGCTGAGTCCATTCCTGACAGTACCCCCCCCCCCTCAAGGAGCGGTCTCAGGACGCTCCAGACAGTCCTTAGTGGGCAAAATGTTCCACCACCCGGGTCAGGTAACTGGCTGAATATCCAACTGCCGGAGTAAACCGGCTGGCTGGGTTTTCTGCTGGTAGACTTCTCTTTGCGTAGGAGAACCCAGGAAGGCAGGTCACTGGGCACAGGATTTCCAGGAGTAGGCTGGGAATCAGTTATTGGCCAGTTTAGCTGGACATCAGGGGCTGGCATGTCGGGCTGTGCAGCGGGCAGAGGCACGTCAGCGGGCACCGAGTCATCTGGCACGACAGCAGGCACCGAGTCATCTGGCACGACAGCGGGCACCAAGCCATCTATCAGAACCGCGGGCACAGAGTCATCTGGCAAGTCAGCGGGCACGAGTCACCAGGCATGTCAGTGGGCACCGAGCCATCTAGCAGAACCGCGGGCACAGAGTCACCTGGCAAGTCAGCAGGCACCGAGTCACCGGGCATGTCAGCGGGCACCGAGCCATCTAGCAGAACCGCGGGATACCGGGTCACCAAGCTCGACAACAGGCACCAAATTAACTGGCACAACAGTGGGCACTGAATCAACTGGCACGATAGCGGGCACCAAGTCATCAGGCATCAGGTCATGTGGCTCAACAGTGGGCACTGGGTCCTCAGGCATCAAGTCATCTGGCTCGACAGCGGGCACCGAGTCAACTGGCACTGAGTCAACTGGTACGACAGCGGGCACCGAGTCAACTGGCACCGAGTCAACTGGCACGACAGCGGGCACCGAGTCAACTGGCACGACAGCGGGCACCGAGTCAACTGGCATCAAGTCATCCGGCTCAACAGCGGGCACCGAGTCAACTGGCACCGAGTCAACTGGTACGACAGCGGGCACCAAGTCAACTGGCACCGAATCATCAGGCAGCAAGTCATCTGGCTCGACAGCGGGCACCGAGTCAACTGGCACCAAGTCAACTGGTACGACAACGGGCACCGAGTCAACTGGCACCGAGTCAACTGGCACGACAGCGGGCACCGAGTCAACTGGCACGACAGCGGGCACCGAGTCAACTGGCACGACAGCGGGCACCGAGTCAACTGGCACGACAGCGGGCACCGAGTCAACTGGCACGACAGCGGGCACCGAGTCAACTGGCACGACAGCGGGCACCGAGTCAACTGGCACGACAGCGGGCACCGAGTCAACTGGCACCAAGTCAACTGGTACGACAACGGGCACCGAGTCATCAGGCATCAAGTCATCCGGCTCAACAGCGGGCACTGAGTCAACTGGCACCGAGTCAACTGGTACGACAGCGGGCACCGAGTCAACTGGCACCGAATCATCAGGCATCAAGTCATCTGGCTCGACAGCGGGCACCGAGTCAACTGGCACCAAGTCAACTGGTACGACAACGGGCACCGAGTCAACTGGCACCGAGTCAACTGGCACGACAGCGGGCACCGAGTCAACTGGCACGACAGCGGGCACCGAGTCAACTGGCACGACAGCGGGCACCGAGTCAACTGGCACGACAGCGGGCACCGAATCATCAGGCATCAAGTCATCTGGCTCGACAGCGGGCACCGAGTCAACTGGCACCGAGTCAACTGGCAGGATGGTACAGTGAGTGGGAGTAGGGTACCGACATGTGGCAGATTGCTGGGTATACTGGGCTGTCACTGGGGGTGCTGTCGGGAATGCAGGAAAAGAGCTTTGAGCAGAGGAATGATGAGAAACAGGACTGGTTCGTTGCAAGCTGATTGAGGCTGGGTGTAACAAGTCTGACCATGTCTGCAGTAAGGGTTGGACAACGCTCAGCTTACACAAGGCCTGTCCGGTCAAAGTTTGCACTGCGTTTATACACTTCTTTAGCACCTGTGGTGAACATGCTGAATAATGCTCCAAGAAGCAATCCGGATCATCCTCCAACAACCATACCAGTGATATTATTTGACTCGCCCTGAATGGAGGAAGAAATTCATCCCTGCTTTCAGGGGTACTAGATGAAGCCAACTCAATACAAGCCTGAATCAATGGTTGCACCTCAGAGAGCTCTAGGTCCTGACCTACTAGGGAATGAGCGACCCGTATGCACTCTAGCAGCTGATCCCGGGTATACTCGCGCAGAGTCTGATAGGCATATTCCCTGTCATCAAAGACTAGCATAGACAAAATATATAACCTCATCAGGATGCATCCTTCACAACAAGGCAAGATGGCTTCCCTGTGCAGCCACTTCTGGTCAGGAAAGGCCTTGGTGTGATGTCAGGAATCAAGGAATGACCAGAACGGTGTGGACTGACACAGGGAAACGCAGGTAATATAATACAGTTTATTATTAGCCACCCAGATATATATCTATATAAACGCACAGTGAACAAACTAACCTTCCACTAATCTTAGGAGGTGCAGGAACACAGGCGTAGTCAGGGCTGGAGAGGTGGAATGGGTCAGGCCGGCCGTAGGGTTCTGTAACGACTGCCTGGTGGTACCTCTAGCGGTCCTCAGGGCAGGATTCCCCAGGGCGCGGAGTCTAAGCCCCAGTCTGCCTTTTCACCAGAGCCCCTGATGGTGGGGATGGACTTGGCGCAGGACTGAGACCAGGTTGCGGCCCCTGCGTACACCTGCTAGTGGTAGGGGGATCCACCAGAGGTATGTGCAGGTACGGCTGGATCCCGTGCAGGATGGATGGCAGAGTAGTTAGCGTGGTCAGACAAGCCGGGTCGGTAACGGTGGAGGCAGATCAGTACAGAGCAGCAGGCAAAGAGTAAACGGGTCACAAGCCAAGGTACAGCAACAGGAAGTCAAACAGCATAGGAGTAGGCAGAAGAATAGTCAGGGATGAGCCAGTAGTCAGAACAGGAGACGGTCAACAGAGATCAGGATCAAGCCGGGTCAGCAACGAAGCAGGAACACAGGATACAGGTACAGAGGCTCATGGGAAAACATACACCAAGGCCCAGAGCACAGGCCTGGTCATGCCTTATATACACCTTTCTGTAATCAGCCCCAGGTTTGGCTGATTGTGAGCTTCTGGCTGCTAAGAGCACCCGCTGGTCAGCTCTGGTACTGCAGCCCACACGGCAGGCGAGTCCCACCACCAGTGCTGAGTCCATTCCTGACAACCTCACTCATTTGCAATCTTTAAACAGTTAATAACATCAATAAAATTTAGTTTAAATTAAAAAAAAAAGATTCTCACTTTAACCACTTGCCGCCCAGCCACCGCATTAAAACGGTGGCAGGGCGGCACGGGCAGGCAAAACCACGTTTTAAAACGTAGTTTTGCAAAACGGGTAGGGGGCGCGTGCGAGGCGCGCGCCCCGTCCTACCTGTCCCGCGGGTGTCAGCAGCGGGTGTCAGCCGCCGGGTCACGGCTGGTAGTTACCGGCCGTTTCCCCGGGATTCAAGGTGATCGCTGACAGAGCAGGGCTGCATTGTTTTACACACAGCCCTGCTCTGTGTCAGTTTCTCTGACAGCTCGTGTCAAGCTGCAGAGGGAGAGAAGAGTTTCTCTCCCTCGATCAGCCTGTCCCCATCCAGCACACACACCCCCGCCCCCTAGTAAAAAACACTCCCCTCACACAGTAAAACTCTAAAAATGTTAACCCCTTCCTCCCCAGTGCCATTAGTACAGTGTCAGTGTTTTTTTTTTTTTCACTGACCACTGTATTGGTGTCACTGGGGATGTCAGTGACCCCAAGTCAGTTCCCCCCCAGTGTCAAAATGTCCACCACAGTCCTGCCATATGGCGCTGATCACCACCATATGTCGCTGATCGCCGCCATATGTCACTGATCGCCGCTATTATTACTATACAGTGGGGCAAAAAAGTATTTAGTCAGCCACCAATTGTGCAAGTTCTCCCAAAGATGAGAGAGGCCTGTAATTGGCATCGTAGGTAGACCTCAACTATGAGAGACAAAATGAGAAAAAAAATCCAGACAATCACATAGGCTGATTTGGAAAGAATTTATTTGCAAATTATGCTGGAAAATAAGTATTTGGTCAATATCAAAAGTTCATCTCAATACTTTGTTATATATTCTTTGTTGGCAATGACAGAGGTCAAACGTTTCCTGTAAGTCTTCACAAGGTTGGCACTCCTTGTTGCTGGTATGTTGGCCCATTCCTCCATGCAGATCTCCTCTAGAGCAGTGATGTTTGGGGGCTGTTGCTGGGCAACACAGACTTTCAACTCCCTTCAAAGGTTTTCTATGGGGTTGAGATCTGGAGACTGGCTAGGCCACTCCAGGACCTTGAAATGCTTTTTACGAAGCCACTCCTTCGTTGCCCGGGCGGTATATTTGGGATCATTGTCATGTTGGAAGACCCAGCCCACGTTTCATCTTCAATGCCCTTGCTGATGGAAGGAGATTTGCACTCAAAATCTCACAATACATTTGGCCCCATTCATTAAACAGTTCTATTTTGGTTTCATCTGACCATATGACATTCTCCCAATCCTCTTCTGGATCATCCAAATGCTCTCTAGCAAACTTCAGACGGGCCCGGACATGTACTGGCTTAAGCAGGGGGACACGTCTGGCACTGCAGGATCTGAGTCCCTGGCTGCGTAGTGTGTTAGTGATGGTAGCCTTTGTTACGGTTGGTCCCATCTCTCTGCAGGTCATAACTCACTAGGTCCCCCCGTGTAGTCCTGGGATTTATTGCTCACCATTCTTGTGATCATTTTGACCCCACGGGGTGAGATCTTGCGTGGAGCCCCAGATCGAGGGAGATTATCAGTGGTCTTGTATGTCTTCCATTTTCTAATTATTGCTCCCACAGTTGAATTTGTTCACACAAAGCTGCTTGCCCATTGCAGATTCAGTCTCTTCCCAGCCTCGTGCAGGTCTACGATTTTGTTTCTGGTGTCCTTCGACAGCTCTTTGGTCTTCACCATAGTGGTTTTTGGTTTGGAGTGTGACTGAGGTTGTGGACAGGTGTCTTTTATACTGATACAAGTTCAAACAGTGCCATTGATACAGGTAATGAGTGCAGGACAGAGGAGCCCTCTTAAAGAAGAAGGTACAGGTCTGTGAGAGCCAGAAATCTTGCTTGTTTGTAGGTGAACAAATTACTTATTTTTCCACCATATATTTGCAAATAAATTCTTTCTCAAAATCAGTCCTTAATGTGATTGTCTGGATTTTTTTTCTCATTTTGTCTCTCATAGTTGAGGTCTACCTATTGATGCCAATTACAGGCCTCTCTCATCTTTTTAAGTGGGGAGAACTTGCACAATTGGTGGCTGACTAAATACTTTTTTGCCCCACTGTCTTTAGCAAAGACATGTCGCAGAATGCATTTTGGATGAAATTTGTGACAAAGTTTGATTTTTTTTTTTATTTTTTTTACTGGACATGTTTTATTAGCAAAAAGTCCAAAATATTGTTTTTTTTCTCAATTAATTGTCAGCCTTTTTTTTTTTTAGCGCAAAAAATTAAAAATGCACAGGCGATCAAATACCACCGAAAGAAAGCTCAATTTGTGGGAAAAAAAGGATGTAAATTTAATTTTGGGTGCAGTGTTGCATGACCCGCGCAATTGTCAGTTAAA